GCTGATCTGACCTGGGTCTTGCCTTAAGCACACACAATCCAGTGTGAAATGTCATATAAGCAAACGATTAGAATATAGATGACCCAGAGTATGCGAGGGATCAACGGAAGCTCTAGGAGGCTTGGCTGAAGGGAAGCACTAACACAGTACAGAAGAGGGTGTAGGAGGGTGTGCAGGAGTTTGCCAATAGGTCCCTAAGAAGAGAAATGGCTGACTCAAGGCAGTGGTGGAATAGAGTCAGCAGGGTCTGAGGGTCCCCAGGGTCCAAGATCCCCCCAACATCTTTGCTTCTAATCACTCCCTCTTCACAGTGGACCTGGATGTTGGAATCCCCCTGCCTAAGGTTCTCAATGTCAATTTTGCCAATTCTGTTCTGGAGATCATTGAGGTGAGTTTCCTATGCAGATGTGGCTCAGACGGGCCTTACGCTTGTCTCTGGACAGCATTGTTTGAACACATGTGAGGGGATTGTGTTGCCTCGTTCTCTGGTCTGTCCCCGCACCATTTTCTAAATTGCTCAGAAAACTACAACTTACGTGACTAGGGAGTGGCAAATATATGATATGGGGGCTGCCACTCCTTCATTACTTGACTGTGGCAGACATGGTCCTTTCCTGTGCAATTCAGACGCACGTCTGGCCTATAGAATGGAACCTCAGATTCACTCACAGAATCACAGTCCCCGGGTGCAGGGGTAGCAAACACATGTGCTGTCTTCCCCTTACCTCGTGCCTGTGGCAAACATGACACTTCTTGCTGAATATTGACGTGGCCTCACAGTCCTTTTCAAACGGGCACAATTTTGAGTTTTGGAACAGCTCAGGGAGGTAGCGGAGCCGGGAGTTCTGTGTCCATTTTCTCAGATGAGGCCCAAGTCAAATTTCTGTCTTAAGATCACACAGTAAATCAGTGGCAGAAATGGCACTTGAACTCGAGTCTCTTAAGTCCTAAAGTCAGCACCCTGTCCCACGCTGGATGTCATTTATTCATCATTCACCTATTTGTTTGTTCATTCATTTAATGAGTGTCTGCTGTGGTCCAGGGACAGTGCTAACCCCAGAGCAGGGTAGGACGCTGGGGGATACAGAGGCTGCAGGGATGGGGGCATGGCAGGGGTGCTGGGCACAAGGACTCAGAGGCCTAACTGAGAGCTGTTGTGACTTGCAGAATGCCGTTGTGCTGACTGTGGCATCCTGAGGCTGAGACGGCCATCATCCTCCCTGTCGACTACCAGGGTCCTGTCCACTTACCCACTCTGCCTCAATTTCCCCCCACCCCTCAGTCTCTAGCCTGTGTTGGTGACAGCATAAGTGCCCCCTACTCACCCAGGTCCACCTGTGCCCTCTGGCCCTGCAGCTCTGTCCCTGTCTGGGGTGAAGCCATCGGACTGCTTCGGAGGTAGCTCTGGGGCGTCCATGGCAAGTTCTGAGCTTTCAATAAACTAGTCCTCTGTCTCAGTTCCTCTGGCTGATTTGCTCCACAGTCATAGAGGGGTTGCCTTGGCCTCTGCCTCCAGTGCCCTCCCCAGCTCCGGGCAGGAGCTCCAGGAGGGACTTGGGGCCTAGTCCTTGTAGCTTTGAGTCCCAAACTTACCTGGTTGGCCTGGGCAGCCTCCGTGTCCTGCGCCTCCTTCCTCCCCTCCCTTGCCTCGAGCTCTCTGTGTCTCTCTCCTCTTCCTCCCTCTCTCTCTGTTTCTCCAAATACCTCTGTCTTTCACTCTGTCTCACTCTGTGTCTCTAACTTTGGGACACTTCTTAGAAGGGACATCTGAACTGAATTTTGCAGGGTGAGTAGCAGTTTTCCAGGGAGAAAAAAAGCCAGCTCTCCAGGAAGCAAGAGTGAGAGGGACTCAGCCGTGCTCTGGGAGGATCCCTCGTGGCTGCACGTCAGACATGGCACGCCTCAGCACAAAGCTGTGCCAAGTGCTCTAGGTGCACGCGGGGCCTGCAGCTGGGGCGGGCCTGCAGCGGGAAGAAGGTTTTGAGGGCTAAAGCAGCACTCAGGATGGTGGCTCATCCGTCTGGAGCACCCAGTTCCTTATAGCACTTGTTCCTGATGCGTTATCCTGCCTCCGTGCTGTGCCTTCATCCGTTCCCTCCTCTCCACCCACAGCCCCAGAGCACCCTCCTCATCGCTCAGGAGGAACACTCCCAACACACACCATCCCCCTCCCCTGGCCTCCCACCCTGCTCACT